TAGTGGTGGTGGTGGTGGTGAGTCAGTCCTTTCGTCTCTCCCTCTTCCTACCATCACCACACTATACCCACTTTCCCTCCCCTAATATCTCATTTGTCACAGGTCCTTTGCATTTTCTTTTTCTAAATGATTTCCCTGTTTTAGTCTTTTGGCCTCTAAAAAGTGACAGGTATTTTAAAGCTGACTCTACCATTTATTTACTAAAAAAATTATGTGAAATGTCAAAGACTCAGTTAACTGATAAAGTAGGGTAGTAGTGATCTTAAATGTTGTGAAGATTAATTGAAATAAGATATAAAATTTCAATTATAAAGTCTAACCTGTAGATGTTCAATAAATATTTGTGGAATGAGTGTTAGTTCCCTTCTCCTTATAACCATAATTAATATGAGTTTGAAGAATTTTTTGAACTACCTAAACTATAAAAAGATTAGATGTTAATGCTTGAAGATTTTTTAAAAATGATTGTGTCTCCTTTGATCTACACCCACATCAAACTCTAAGTGTAGAATTTTTTTTTATCTTGGTCTATTTTTGTTTATAACAGCCTTGAAAGTGTGCAATTCAGTGATTTTTGGTATATTCACATAGTTATGCAACCATTACCACTGTCTAATTTTAGAACATTTTCATTATTCCAAAAAGAGATTCCATATACATTAGCAGTTACTCTCACAAGTCCTGGAAACTGCCTATTTTCTGTCTATATGGATTGGCCTGTTCTGGCCATTTTATACAAATGGAATTAAACAATATATGGCCTTTGTGTCTGGCTTCTTTCACTTAGCATGTTTTTAAGTTTCATCCATGTTGTAACATGTATTAGAATTTCATTCCTTTTTATGGCTGAACTATAGGCCTGATGTACGAAATTCATGCCCTGGGGGTAGGAGGGGGTTGTCCTTCAGCCCAGCCTGCACCCTCTCACAGTCCGAGACCCCTTAGGGGATGTCCGGAAGCCCTCACTCCTTAATGCCTGCCTGCACGCTGCTTATCGCTCGGGTTGCTGCTCCTTAGCGCTGCGTGGAGGCTGAAGAGGCTCCTGCCACCGCTGCTATGCTCTCCAGCCGTGAGCCCAGCTTCTGGCTAAGCAGCACTCCCCCTGTGGGAGCGCACTGACCACCAGGGGGCAGCTACTGTGTTGAGCATCTGCCCCCTGGTGGTCAGTGCACATCATTGCGACAAGTCGTTCTGGTCATTCCGCCGTAATGATCGCTTAGGCTTTTATTATATAGACTAGAGGCCTGATGCACGAAATTCATTTAAGAGTAGGCCTTCCTTCCCCTGGCTGTCAACACCAGCTTTCCTCTGGCACCCAGGACCTGGGCTTCCCTCGCAGCCCTGGCTTCGTCCAGAGATTGTCCGGTCCAATTAGCTTATTATGCTTTTATTATTATAGATAATATTCTGTTGTATAGATAGGCCACATTTTGTTTATCTGTTCATCATTTTGTAGACATTTGGGTTGTTTACATTGGGGCTGTCATGTATAATGCTAATATGAACATTTGGGTACAAGTTTTTATATGGATATTTTTTAGTTCTTTTATTATATGCCTGGGAATAGAATCTTTAGTTGATAAAGCAAATAATTTTCATTTCAAATCAGAGTTCTCATGGCAAGAGAACTAGTTTCTTATTTGGGGTGTTTTCTTCTATGTTGGTTCCTTAAGATTGAAGTTCTTTGCACTAGACCTCATAGAGCACTGTGTTCCCAGTCATGGAAACCAACGGAAAACCAAGAGCCTGCAATCAGAAAGCATCAGAAACAATACAAATGCCCCCACATGATAAAGGATGCTTTCATAAACATAGGGTAACACAATAACCTCCAAATACCAGTGGTTTACTCTCAACAAAGCGTCCATTTCATTCCCTTTATATATGAGGTGCACTGCAAGATCAAAAAAGGAAAACTCTCCTAAAGGGATGCAAATTAAGTAAAAGTTAGGTTAAAGTGAACACATTTATGAAAAGTATCCTATCCTCTAGAGCAGCGGTTCTCAACCTGTGGGTCGCGACCCCTTTGGCAGTCCAACGACCCTTTCACAGGGGTCGCCTAAGACCATCGGAAAACACATCTATAATTACATATTGTTTTTGTGATTAATCACCATGCTTTAATTATGTTCAATTTGCAACAATGAAAATACATCCTGCATATCAGATATTTACATTACGATTCATAACAGCAAAATTTCAGTTATGAAGTAGCAACGAAAATAATTTTATGGTTGGGGGTCACCACAACATGAGGAGCTGTATTAAAGGGTCGCAGCATTAGGAAGGTTGAGAACCACTGCTCTAGAGCATGAGCTGAGTGAGTGTAAGCACATTTCTGTTCTTCTCGGCCATCCCACCTTCTCAACCCAACTGAAATGAAAGGGAGAATGAGGGATCTGAAACAGTTTATAGATTATTTTCATTCAGCTCAGGAGCAGGTTTCAAGCACTGTCTTTACCTTCATAGAAAGTCATGGCAAAAGGAAAAATGGCTTTGAAATAGAGATTGGCATTGAGCATCATGATCAGTCACTCAGAGGTCACTAATTACTCTCCCTTTTGTTTTTCAGTGAACGAGATAATTGGGAGAGACATGTCTCAGATTTCTGTTTCCCAAGGAACAGGGGTGAGCAGGCAGGCTCCCCTCCCTGGTCCCGATTCCTTGGATTTAGGAAGATCTGATGAGCTCTGACAGTGCTCGCTGCAACCTTGCATCCACCACCACCATATATATGATGGGTGCTTTGAGTGTGAATGCAGCAGGCTCTTCATTTCAGAGGTGATGCTTTTGCAGATGACCTCATTGCTTAGCTAGAATTAGTGATTTGAACTGCTTTGTGGTCATTTGAAGGACCTTTTAGCTTAAATGATATTTTTAAAATAGGAACTTTTGATAAAACCTTCCAGAGGCAAACATAAAAGAAAAAAATTGTCCAAGCCCACACCTATGCCTCAGAAACTCAGCATGTGTCCTGAAGCCTTTATAGATTCATAGGAAATAAAGCCAAATGTAGCTCATACCTCTTCAAAAGTAAACTGTTAGATAAAATGAGAAGAGACCATTCCAATCACTGAAGTGTTGGAATATTAAATGACATTCCAGACAGAGCATAGCCTTTTTGTAACTTTCTAGATATTCCTGCAGTCTCTCCATTCTGACTTCATGTTGAAATAGCTTTTTTTCCCTCAGGGCCTTGGGTAAGATAGCTACTTAGGAGGTGACTGTGAAAGGTGAGGTTTTAGCTTCATAGCTTTAAGTTCCTGCCATCCTACAAACAAGTGCTCTTCCTTTTTGTGTCCTTTTGTAAGTGGGAGCATTAGCCTTTGGCTGCTCTGTAACCTTTGAAGCCAGTCTCATGATGGTTTAGGCAATTTTGCTGGTTCTAACTCATCTCCAGGGGCCAGGTTGTGTCAGGAACTAAGCACAAATGAGCAATGCTTCAGAACAAGAGCAGAGAAAGCACAAGACTCCAGATGGGAAGCTTTTAAGATTCATACTGGCACGGAAGGCTTATCCCTCATTCTGTTTACAGCCTAAAAAGATTCTGGCCTACCCTGTTCCATCTGCATGGCCTAAAAACCAGCCTTTTCCCAAAAAGGCTTTGAGCCAAATAAATAAATGAGGTAGCATCATAAACCTGACCCTCCAGACCAAAGATGCCCTGGTGCTGCTGCAGGTGAAGCTGGCACTCAAGACAGGGGCCAGCAAGAAGCTCCAGCCTGCTGTCTACCAAAGGAGTGCCCAACTTGGGTGCTTTCTTCAAGCCCCGTCCTTACCACTCCCATTAATAGGATAAGTTACTTGGTCCAAGGCCTGGGCCATTTCAAAGCTCCTGAAGCTTGTAGTATGTTTTCATGTGAAATTATGTACTTTATTTATTCAGAAAGCAAAATTGTTGAGTGCCTACATATGAGACCGTGTGCTAGGCTGGTTAAAGGTCTGATGTTATTCCAGGGGATTGTGTGTCCTAGATGCCAGGATTCTCTACTGAGACCAAGTGAGTCCTGGGCAGAGGAAGCTTGTTCCTTGCCTACCACCTATAGTCACCCAGGTAGGAGCTACTGACCCATGATGAGGAAGTGTTTGTTTTTTTCTCTTTTTAAACCATGTTTTAGATTTTTCCCTTAAAACTAGTTAAGAAAAAAATGTCTGTCCTTCAGCAAATCACTCTGGTCCTCTTAGAGCTGGGTGTTTTCATGTTTTCTTTGAAAATGTAGTGTAGTGAGATATTTCAGGGCTATGGTTGGAAGCCCACAGCTTCCTTTGGAGGTTGTAGGGGACTGGCCAATAAGATGAAGTTCCATAAAGATGGTCAGACTTGCCTCCACCCTTTTGTCCCTGGTATAGCTGCCTCACATGGGTTTCTTACAAAAGTTCTCTTTGCAGGATCCATTGCGGGTTGCTTTGTTGTCCTCAAGAATAAAAGCCTCTATGATCCAGAGTTGCTATGCACCAAATTTTGATGCCTTTTAAATACCTTGATGCCTGTAGCACTAGAAATGCTTTCCTATTTAAAATAAAAGTTGAATTTTAAAATAGAGCTTTGTATACTATGTAAGCAGTTTTGTATCAGCTTTGTAAAAGCTTTGGTGTAAGAGTCAGTATTTTTTGGCTTTGTAGATAAAGACTTACATTTTTGTGCAACATAGTGGTATTAAAGCACACATCCATTGGACTATGCAATTTGGGTTCTAGTTAGCAGCACTGAGCAGCTGGGCATGTGCTAGCACCTACTCCTACCCCCTCCAGCCAGTGTGAGATCTTGGATTAAAGAATGGGATGAGCAGCCTTCTGCTTATTAGAGACGCACAGAGAAACATGGCTGAACACAGCTTTAAAAGGAACAGCTGTCTCCAGGATCACGTGTGGTGCTGCTGCCTGGGGTGCAGCCCACTGCTGCCCAGGGCTAGTCACGATCATCAGAGCTCTGCTGGGTCTGGCTGGGAAGCTGTTTTTGATACTCAGAACAGATGGTCACCTTTAAGGCTCAGATGGGCTCAAGTTGAAACCTTGTATTTTATAAAATGGATGATGTTCAGTTTACAGCACTCGGGACTGTGTTTTCTTGTACATTTTGTATTTTAAAACCTTTTATAGGAGTACAGTGCTCCTTACACAATACAAAGGGAAGAGCCAGCAATTCAGGCTCCTCAGTTACAGTGCTGAAATAATAAACGATGACAGGTCAACAGTCTCCTTGAATTCTGCCTGAGTTTTCCTCTGACTGGGGCTGGTGAGGAGCCCCTCACCCTGGGGGCCAAAGCTAAGGGCACTTTGGCTTTTAGAAAGTCCACGTGGTTAGGAACCTTTGTTTATTTTCTGGAGAGGGTAGAGTTCCAAATTCTTTCTGCAGCTTCAGTTCTGCACCTTCTAATGGGTGCAAAGGACATTCCACCGTGTCTGCTAAGTTCAGGACAACTGGCCTGCCCAAGGTGTGCACAAAAAGTAGGCAGAAAAGTCTCCTTTAAAATTCAAGCCTGAGTTTTTATGTGAGGGCCTCCTGCCCCCTAGTGTCCTCTGGGGGTACCGCAGTACAGCTCATCAAAACAGCCTGTGGTTTTGCCGTCTGGTATTCCTTGTGCCAAGCTGGAGGGGCTGGCAGCCTTAAGTGGGACCACCCCTGGCACAGTGTAGCCATTGAGGTCCAAGCATCCTGGGGACTGGGGCCAGCACTCTGTTTCTCTGCTCCACCATCAGAAGCTCCCAGGAGTCATACATTGAAGGCACCAGGGCTTACATTTTTAAAAAGGCAAGCCTGCTGTGGATGTCAGCCCCACAGTATCTGTGGGCATGGGCCATAGCCAGAACAGACCAACGGCTCTCCGGGTGCTACTCAAGAGGCCCAGGTCAGGCCTTTGGGAGCAGGGTAGCACCATTCCACCCCCAGCCCTACATGTAAGATTTAGCTATCATCTTTAGGGTGAACAGCAGAGCAGTAAGTGGGGGGATGGAGCTGGGGCTTGAGATCCTCTGAGTGCCTTCAGAAAGAAGTCACCAGGATGAGGGCACTGGTTCTCTGGATGCAGGAGAGACGTTAGCTGAAGACATCAGCCAGCTCTTACCTCCTGACTCCCTCATCTACAAACACACCCACTCTTTGGGGGCCTGTAGCACAGTGCGAGGTGGGTCACCAACAGGCATCAGGCTGGTGTAGTCATCAGGGGCTAGCTGCAGAAGGAACAGAGCTTTAGGGCAGGGAGCTCTAGGCTCAGCCAGGTCCCCAAATCCCCCTAGTCACACCTCTCACACCTCACCTGGTAGGCCTGAAAGACGCTGAGCAGATCCTTCATACCAGCTGTGTATGGGACACCCTGCATACGGACCAGGGCTCCTGGTTGGGACAACACTGAGGTAGGAGCAGAAGCCAGGGCCGCAGGGGGCGTGGTGAGGTAGCCCACAGTGGTGGGAGAGACTGGGGGGCTAGGGTGGGAAAATAGGGTTTTAGTACAGTCCTACCTACAACCTACACCAAGGCTTTCCTCCCTCTTCCCTTGCCTCTGACTTATGCTTAGTTCATTTTAGTTCCTCCTCCCTAAAACCTGCCCTCTGTGTCATCTATTCTAGTTTGTAGATAGCATCAGCTAGCCCGCATCTCACTCCCTTCTTTCAGACCGTGGGTTATCTGGCCCAGGAAGAGGATCATGACCCTCCTCCAAACCAGGACAAGGGGCAAGTCTGCAGTTCTCTGAGCAGCAGGGTACCTGGGGTAGTAAGCTGTGTAGTTCATGTAGAGTTGAGTGGCTGGCCCGGGGTAGTAGGCAATGGGAGTGGGGGCAGCAGGCACCCTGGCAGCTGGGAGCAGTGCTGAAGAGGGATAGAGAGCTGCCGTCTCAGTGGGAATGAGTGTTGGGGTGGCTTGGAAGGTGGCGTAGGCTGGTGGCGAGAGGCCTAGAGGCAGAAGCAGAGAGTACATCTGCAGGGGGCCTGGTGCTGCCCTGGGTGGGGCAGCCAGAAAGAAGTCCCCACTGTAGAACGTGAAGGTTATAACTGGCACCCACATCCCTCCTACTCCCCCAGCCCTGGGGTACTCACAGGGCAGTTTGCAGGGTGGAGGAGACATGCCGCTGCGGCCCAAAGTGCCCCCCATCAGCACACGGCTCATCTCCTCTGTGGAGCAGGGAACTACCTCCACATAGCGTTCCTTCATCACTTTCTTATGGCAACGCTGAGAAGCAGCTAAGGCCCGCTCTGCTGACGTCATCTGGATGAAGGCATCGCCAGATGGCCGGCCCTGTGCACACCATCTTATAACAGTCTATCCTGCTAGCCAGGATCCCTTACTCCCAACCACGCACTCCTCTCTCTTTGTGTGTCCCCCTTTGGGCAGCAGCCTCACCTGCTGGTTGAGCACCATGTGCACACCATGGGGCCGGATGTCAGCTGCTGCCTCCCCCAGGAAGCTTAGGATGTCTTCGATGGTGGCTGTGTAGGGCAGGCCTCGGAGGCGTACACAGTCTCTCCCAGTCCCAGCTACCATCGGGAAGGGGATGGGCAGCAGTGGAGCAGTCAGTGTGGGAAGGAGTGGACTGGAAGCGTAGCGGTTCAGGACCTAATAAGGAAGGCAGCAACTGGTCATGCCAAGTAGGGCAGGGACACAGAGTGGAGTGGGGTGAAAGGGGCACCCTGGAGAAGCACATGGGGGTGGGGGAGCCCTGGGTGCTCACCTGCTGCACCTCGGCTGCAGTGCTCCGGAAGAGTTCAATGTATCGCTTACCCAGCATGCCCTTGTGCCTGCGCAGTGCAGCTTGTGCCAGCTCCTCACAGGCAAAGAGTGCAAAGGCATCGCCAGTGGGCCTGCCGTCAGGGTGGCGCACAAAGAGCAGCCCATCGGCACCCCCCGTCACTGGGCACTCTGGCCCCAGGAAGTCGAGCACGTCTGCTGGCCCAGCTGAGAAGGGCAGTCCCCGCAGCCGCAGGATCACTTGGTCTTCCCGTGACAGGAACCGAGCCACCTCTAGTGATGTGCCTTGATGAGGGTGGCATGGGAGTCACCTACTGACTTCATTCATGCCCTTCCAACTACCCATCCAAACCTGGCACACAGGGGAGCAGAAAGGCAAGGGATGGTGGGGGAGTGGGACATGGGTAGAACCAGGGGGAGCTAGGTGCTGCTGGGGGCACAACTCACCCCCTGCGATCTTTACAAACTCCTCTCCTGTTGCTTTGTATACCTGTGGGGACAGTGGGGACAGTCCGTGGGTCTCAGGCCTGAGGGGGCTGGCCTTAGCTCTGCTCTGCTCCACTCCCAGCCCAAAGGCCCACCTCAATGTAGCGGACACCCATGTGGTGCTTGTGTCTCTGCAACGCTAGGTCCCGCTGCTCACTGTCCACAAAGCGGATGAGGGCCTCGCCATTTCTTCGCCCCTGGGCATTGAGGCAGAGGGCTACACCACCCCTGTGGAGCCAAGGCTATGTTAGTACCTCCTGGGTGGGCCTGCCCTCCTGGGCCCACCATCATGCCGCACCCACCTGGCAATGTTGAGTCCTTTGAAGAAGCGAGCCACGTCCTGGTCTGATGACTGCCAGGGCAGCCCACGGGCCCGAACCACGGTCTCACTGTCCACCACCTCAGCCTTGCTGCTGTGGGGGTAGGGCCCAGGGTCAGAGCTGTCTATCCTGTTAACAAGGGTGCCTTACTATTGTCACCCCTATCCCTGCCCTGCACTCACCAAGGTCCCGTCTCATATTTCTGCTTTATCACCTCGGGCTTCGAAAACAATTGATCTGAGAGGAGATGACATGGGAGTCAGCAGGGTCTGGTGGAGGGGGTCTCCCCACCAAACTCTCTAAAAAGAGGACAGTTGAAGAGGAGGTGACAAAGGGGCTCCCACCAGATGGTCTCTCAGAAAAGGTAAGAACTAGGGAAGGGGTCTTTGAAGAATTAATAGGCAGGCATTCACCCAGCCCTGAGAGAGAACGGGTAACAGATGGTGAGGGGAACCTTACCATTGGGCCCTTCAAGTAGGTGGAGGATGACAGCTACCATTGTCTTCACTTCCCAGACCCCAAAGTCATCCTCTGTGGCATCTGTTTCCAGCCCCAACTCTATGAGCAGTGAAATAATAATGAGGAAATCCCAGCAGGAGAGGCTTGGGGCAATCAGTGGGAGCCCTATGACTGGTCCCACCTAGGCCCAAGTCCCCTACATAAGCACGTGGAATCCCAGCAAGCACATGTTTTGGCCCTGCTCATGTATGCCCTTACAGATCCCCCAGCCCAGACATACGTAGACATGTCTACTTTTCAAATGTGCCCCAATCCAGACAGACATGCACTTAAGGACTCAGCAGGTAATGCTAATTAGGTATGTTCATATAAGCCACCAGCATGCACATACTCAGACACATATAGACTAGGGCTGCCCATCCATTCTAACCCCTCTGGGACACAGGTACCCTGTGCCATGGTGGCCACGGTGAGGTCCCTGGCGAGGCGGGCGCTTGGGTGCTGCACATGGAACTCTCTGCGGAGGTCGTAGAAGGAGAAGAAGGTGTCGGGGAGTACCAGGTTCTGGGGGCACAGGTGAGCAGGGATGAATAGACGAAACTGAGCAGCCCACCCCCACGACAATGGATGGCCTGGGAACCCTGCCCCCTGCTGTGCCCTCAGTGGCATACCTTCCTAGAGGCCTCAGGATGCAGGACCTGTCGCAGCAGCTGCTGTCCATCAGTGCAGAGCATGTAGGGGCCCCCGCCCAGCAGAGCCACATCCCCGATCACCAGCTGTGAGAACTGGGGAGAGAGACAGACTCACAGCTGGGCAGGCAGGAAGAAAGAGGGCGCAGGCTGCAAAGCTGGTTCTGCCAGATGTTCGGCCAGCCCTACCCTGCTTGGGGAGTAGGTGGCCATACCTGTTGGGCCTGGCTCTGTAGTTCCCTTTTTCCCCTCAGTCCACCATCAGCTTCTCCAGGCCAAAAGGGGGCAGTTACATATCCCCCAAGCCCCCACTGCACACACTCCAGCAGTCTGGAGTGGGGCCAGAGCAAACACCTGGTGGAGTGGGACAAGCAGGTGGGAAGGGGCGGGGCAAAGCAGGTTAAACCTGTCCCTGACCAGGCTCCACCTTCAGACAGGTGGGAGAGGCCCAGTCCTGCCTGGGGCCCATCCGGCTCATGGTCAATGGCAGCCCCGCCTCTAGGTCTGACCAACCGAGGGCCAGAGAAATTCCAAGGACAGAGCTCCACACCTGGACGCCAGGGGCAGCATGAGCTTTGACCCACACCCTATCGACCTGCTGGCACTGAGCTGTTTGCTCATAGAGGGGGTGGCACTCCTGAAACTGCCCAGCCCCTCCCCCAGCCTCCATCCCTGCTGGCGAACAGGTATCAGCACTCACCACAGCCCCAAGAACCTCCCCCACGCCAGCCTTACAGTCTGAGACTGGCCGAGCAGGGCCACCCAGCTCTCCGGCAGCACACTCCCCAAGTGGGGGCTGGCCTGGAAGCCCTTCGGCAACAGCCTAGGCTGAAACATCTTTGTGCCTCCATTTCCTCACCAGGAACTACCAGAGTTGGAAAATGAAAGAATTCGTGCGTGTAAAGCGCTTACACTCATTATACTCAACCGTCAGACACGGGTTGAGCGGCGTAGAGAAGATAATGAAGAGAAAACAGCAATGGGAACAGCCTCCCACTTCAGCCAGGGCCAGGAGGCAACCCTGGGCCTTGGCACTCCGGAGGCAGGGAGCCTCCAGGCGGGGTCAGGACAGCGCCCACGCCTGGACGGCCAGCCGGGGCAGGCCTCAACGAGCAGCTTACACCTGGCGGCGTCTGCCTCCGGGGCAGACACCGCCCTACGCCCCCGCCCAAGCGTGTCCCAGGCGGGTGGGTGGGCCGAGGTCGCTGGCGGGAGGGACAGTGACCTATGACCAAGGCCCCTTGGCCCTTTCTCGGCTTCTGGCTACTGTTCTGAGCGACCTGGCTGGGCAGGTTCCCAGTTTCAGTCTCAGCCTGGCTCCCCCGCCGGCCCGGGGACTCTCGGAAGGGTCTCGCGGCCTCCATCCCCACCGCCTCAATAGGGTGGATCTGGAAAGACGGAGAAGGAAGAACTCCCCCACCCCAGAAATGGCCGGCACACGCGGACACACGCACACGCGGGAGTCGATGAAAGTTTCAAACAACAGGAACCCGTCCTACCGCCCGGGCCAGTTAGTCCCGGGGCGCCAGGCCTCGCCTCCT